GACCATGAATTCTGAATAGCAAGTCATCAAATCGCGATTCTCTCGAAACTCGTCAATTCTCTTTTTCTCCTATTCTACCGAGACAGTGGGTATGAACGCTGCCCAGGGGGATTAGCAGCAGTGCCTGTTAAGGTTATTTTTACCTTTGTTTTGGATAGGTTTTGTGAATTTTCAAGTAGAGGAAATGCTTTGAAAAAATAAGTACAAGCGAATACACCCACGAACCGTTTTTATCATTACTTCTCTGTGGATGGCTGTTCACGTCCTTTGGCGACCCATGTGTGGCCCAGCGTGTATGTGCGATACCGCAGTGGATGTTGTATTTCATGTCCATGTCGAGTTTTTTGGATGTTTCTGGAAGAGTTGACTTGTCAAGGGAGACCGTTTAGAGTCAGCGCGAGTCAATACCCCGGCGCGCTTTTCCGATCGATACTGCCACGGCAAACTGTTTCAGCTTTTCTTCTTTAGTTGCTCACATTATACCTACAACTTATTCCACTCATTGGAGTACTTAATATTGTCGAGGCGGGTATGGCCTCATACGGTTACCCGTGGGGAAATACATACGAAAAAATGTTTTTCTTCGCTTCTATTTTAATAGTAGTGGTTTACTGGTGGTGTTTGCTTCGAGGACAGGTACTTGTAGTTGGCTGCTAACCTTTAATGGAGTCTGCTAGAACGGAAACCTTTCCGGCTTTTCTGAGTAGCACTATGTCGTCGTGAGGAGCATTTGGCTCGTTACCACCGTCGATTGCGATACCTGAAGATCACTGATCTATTGTGGGAAAATTCCCGATGATGGGAAGGACTCACCGGCTGAGTCATATCCTCTATATTCCATACGCTGTAGACCTTGTATGAGAATGTCGATGATTTCGCTTCGAGTTTTTGGGGTTAGAAAGTTAAGATAAGCGAATATTCCACACATGTTTGCAGTCGGTCACTGAAATGACTGATTGGAGGAGCCGTTACAAAGGCTGAAACGCTCTCAGAACAAGAAGTCGATTGGTGTCAGAAGAACAGTTCTGCAAGAGAATCCTGATGAAAAAAGACGTACGGCAAGTAGCACTGCAGGACACAAGAATGGAATCGAGCGAACGAATAAGGCGCGAAAGGTGGGGGTGGTCAGGAGGGTCATATCAATTAGCGATCATATGTGGAAAAATAAGGGCACTGAAGACTCGATTTCCCCAGAGTGGGAAGGAAATGACCCGTGTGGACGTCATAGCTCACGTATATTGGAATCGATTATTCAAAATCATTCAATCGACGTGTGAAACTGGAGAGTAACAATAGATAGGCCTCAATTATTTGTAGTGGGCGGTAGGACGCATTGGCGATTGCAATCGTCGGTCAAACCAGGCTAACATCTCCGCCATGGGGGAAGAACACTCAGTGTCCCGATCCTTTCTCCGCTGAACTCGATCTGCGACATTTAAGCCGAAATCAAACACACCCTGTGAATGCTAGCACTTCTTCCAAAGAGCTTCGTTTGGTCGAACACGAGCTGGGTGTTCTCTGGAGTTGCCTATGTGAAATGAGAGGCACATAGTGCTAGACTGGTCTTTGATGGAATAAAGTAAAAATATTACATAAAATACTCACAAATTTCGAAAATATATTACTTGTGACTACTGATTCTAATCTGGCGAATGGAGTAATGGCAAGCGGCGCTGTCACGGCGCGCACGACCCGAGGATCAAATCTAAGATCGCACGCCATTCAGGCTATCTAAACCCTCCATCCCTACTCGGGTTGGTTAGTTGGCACCAGTTCTGTCTGGGGAGATGAAAACGCATCGGCTAGCCCTCAAAAGTCATTGTGTGATAACCGCTATACGTAAGTTTACACCAAACTTGGTGAAAACAGGTGTCGTGACAAGGTGACGCCAACTGGCGCCAGATGGCGCCACCGCTGAAAATGAAAGTCATTTTCGGGCATCGACTTACCCTATAGGCAAATTTGCGGTGTTTCTAAGGTGTACAAAATTACACTGCACGAGCGGAGGTGTTTTTACGTGAAATCGGCGCGGGCTTATCTACCGGAAATTAGGGTACTTTCTCCCATGGGCGTGGACCACACCAGTTTGTTCTGAGTGAGGCATGGCTTTGATAATCGCATTTGGCGCTGGTCCGCATGGGCGTGCAAGGGTTGGTCCACTTGTGAGGTGAAGTAACGTGGAGTTAAACAACAAGTACAATTCCTGCGTAGAGAAAGTTGAAATTTGGAAGGGGTAGTACTGCAAGGCTAACACAATCAGGTGGTTACCGTTCTCTAAACAGCGATTTAGCGCAATTCGAGTGCCGTCGATGCCCTTTATAAATTCACGTTTACTCTGTGGTTTTGAATTTTGAAAGGGAATAGGTTACGGAACTCTGCGAAAAATTTTTACTTCGCGCTGACTCACGCCGTCCTCAACAATGGATAGGGAATAAAGTGATGATCATGATTAAATGCTTTGAAATGGATCATTGATTTTGTCGCCTCAATTGCGGCGTAGTTATTATTAGCTTTTTTCAGTTGTGCCCAGGTTTAAAGACGTGTGGCACGATGAATTATGCGTTGAAGAAGTCCATGTTTGCCTACCATAGAAAGTTCTGTGTCTCTGGGAAATCAAAACGTGGCGCTTTTACGCGCGAGCGGCGGCTCGGATCGACCTGGCAGGGTGTTCCCGTGCCCGTCGACTGCTCGTGCCCGCTCACTTATCAGCTTCCCTGCTGATACCTGAACCCTCGAATTCTAGTCGGTTATGACGGAGAGGCGAGCAGACTGTTCACGATGATGGTTTCTGCACCGATGTAGCTCCTCGAAAGCGGATGTGAGCGGGGAAAACAAGGGTTTTGCTTCACATGGTTCAGGTTCCCTAGGATTTCATCATCATTGCACCTTTTACCACCTAAACCTTAACTTTCGTTCGGCAAGCAACTTTTCGGCCATCCGCTTCGAGGATATGTTCTTT